ACCACAGGGGAAACAAATGCCGTGTAAAAAAAGTGCATCCAAAGTTTGCCTTTATATTCGTTTCGTCCACGAGAGTTTTTGTTAGTGCAGTTCCAGTGATCCAAAGGTATTTTCTGGACATTTTTGATTGGCTTACTCCCAGCGGAAAGCGCATGCATTTAAATCGGTTTTTTAGGAGTTAATTTCCACGAGTTGCAACTGGCACCACATCACAGTTCTTGAGACTTTGCCCAGACACTGCCATCTAATGGTCTAGCACCTTCGCGTCTGATATCAGAGCTTGCATTTTCAACTTCAGTTACTAAAAATCACGCTGCGGTTGTTAGAGTAATCAAATTAAAATTAGGGCGAACAAAACAGTTAAGTAATCCAGTGATTTGTGGCATTATTTGCCTTGCAGCAATATCCGGTGGTATCCATCGAGGACTGGTTTGACCAGGATGATTGGGACAACTGGACAAAGGCGCTTGCAAATACGCACATACAAATCGTTGGTGATGATTTGACTGTCACAAACCCGAAAAGAATTCAGATGGCCGCCGAAAAAAAGGCTTGCAATTGCCTGTTACTTAAGGTATCTTTTCGTTGCACACTGGTGTGTACAAATTGAAGCATGAGCGATGATCCAAGGATGCCGACTACTAATTGGTTTCTGTATAAAGGTGAATCAAATTGGCTCGGTAACTGAGTCAATTGATGCGGCAAATTTGGCGCGCAAAAACGGCTGGGGTGTTATGGTGTCGCATCGGTCTGGTGAAACCGAAGATACGTTCATCGCTGATCTCGTCGTCGGCCTTGCCACTGGACAGGTTTCTATTCTAACCGTCTGTAACTTTAAGTAAATTGCCGTTCATCTTAAATATATCTTCATGCTAGCAATTCAGGTGGACTGTTTACTATTGGTTGGCCTTGTGAGGTCTTGCCGGCTTTCTTAGATCTTTTGGAAAATGGCATTTTCACGGTTCTGACTGGTCTTTAGTACATTTTTCTACGCTGATCACAAATGGCAGTCTGTTACAGTAGTTAGGAAAAAAAATCGGTTGGGGAGCAGAAAATTTGTGGCTTCCTTCTACTGTTAAGGCCGGCCGAGTGCACGAAAAAGCAGCCTTCACAGTTGCTCACGTCTCACGTACAGATACATGGCCGTAAAGGAAATTCGAAAAATACATGAATTCGTGTGTAGAACCCTCAAAGCTGGCGATCACATGGCCTTCGGCAAATGAAATTTTCTTCTTTTTTGATGTAGGCACTACTTATCATTGTTCTGTGTATCTTTTAAATGCGATATTAATTCAGATAAAAACTGGAGCTCCGTGCCGTTCGGAGCGCCTCGCCAAATACAATCAGATACTTCGTATTGAGGAAGAGCTCGGATCGGCAGCAGTTTATGCCGGTGAGAAATTCCGAAACCCGCAGGCATAATAATGCAGAGATTTAACAGAGCGATGCTAAAGAAACACACACATACACTACGATGCGTTATGTAGCGAAACTTTTGTTGGTTTTTTCTGATGATAGTATTAGTTGTTGCAGAATGTCTTCAAATAGCTGTTCGGTGATATTACGTAGTACACGTTGTCACACTCCCTTTGATTAAATTATGTAAGTTGATATTATGGTAATAAAGTCTATTGCTCATAAATCATGTTGTTGCACTAGCAGTCTCGAGAAAAAAATTGCCCGGCGGTCCTCATATATATATATATATATATATATATATATATATATATATACGCATATATATA